TTTACTTTTAGGCACAAAGCACACCACGAAAAGTCAGCCTATAGGCCTATAGGCGATCTTATGTTGTACTTTGTGTTCAATTTTGTAAACACATCTCTTCGGGGCACTGAATTCTTCATTTTTCTTGAGAAAAGACTTGTTGCCATGAGAAAATGAAGAATTAAGTGCACCGGAAAGAGTATGTTTACGTTTAAGCACAAAGTACGGATCCAAAGTTACAAGGAACAGCTAAAGTTAGGATAAAATCAAAATTGGAACATTAAAACGGGGTGGGACAAATGCGACCTTTTTTGCTGGAAAAGGCCTTAGGCAGGGCCGTAGAGCTTCGAAAATATTTCCATATAATGGAATCGTATGCGTAGATTCCGAATTTCGACAATCAGGCCTCGCTGACACGTCAAATTTGGGCTAAGGGCAAAAACTACGCAACTGAACGCTTTTCCGCAGTTTTTGCCTTTTAATCCAAATTTGACGTGCCAGCGAGGTCTGATTTGTCGAAATTCGGAATCTACGCATACGATTCCCTTGTATGAAAACATTTTTGAAGCTCTACGACCTTTCCTAAGGCCTTTTCCAGCAAAAAAGGTGCGCAAATGTCCAGGTACGCAAAAAAAGGTCGCATTTGTCCCACCCCCATTAAAATACACTATTTGAGGGTACGGATCTTTCCGATTAACGGGGGGGGGGTAAAAAAATACTGGTGGCAATTTCTAGAAAAACAAGGGGATCTACTATAGTAACGGGGGGATGGGGGCACTTGTTTGTTCTAAATTCACAATAGTCCGAGACTAAATTCACCCAGACTGTTGTAAATTTAGTCGCCGATAAGCAAAAACGGACTTTATTCGGAATCAGCATAAAATTCTACGCCGAATGGTATAGGTCGCATAGCATTTGGCCGGCTCAGCCAGTTGACCTTCCCTAGTAAATACCAAAAATTGAAATCCTACAGTACAGTCTGGCGAATGATTGAATATTATGAAAATCCCCGTTAACTTTTTACCCCCATTAATCCGTTTTACCCCCGTTAACCGGAAAGAGCCGAGGGTACTGTAGAAATGAATTTAAACACGATAAAGCAGAAAACAAAAATTTGCACAAAGGATCAATAACACAAAAGCCGAGAGCTTCTCTAGTCATACATCTCCGGGTGTTGTGCTAACATTCCTTAATGCAAAAGGGTAAAAAAAATGATAGCGATTGAGATATAAGCCAATAAAGTGATCGAATAATTGAATAGTTTGAAATTTCTTAACAAAAATTGTGTATATGCTGCTTTGGAGGCAATTCTTGCGTTGGCGCATCTGGGCTTTCTTTTGCTATCGGGGGTCTCGCGCGGAAAGAATTGTCGCCTAAAGGTGGATTCGGTTTTTCGGGTGAATGAATGTCGATCGGTTGGGTGTGTGAAAGGCATTAACTCGTGAATAGTGCGGTTATTGCCTTTTTATTGGGTTTAAAGGGGTACAAGTTGTAGAGTTAAACCGGGGGTTACTGTAGCTCCTAAACGACACCCTTGCAGTCTAAATTATCGTAAAATTGTTTGGCTAAAAGTTAGCATTCGATTTGGTTCGTATTATATGACTTGGTTATTCTTTTTCATGTTGTGGAGTTAAACCGGTTGTTACTGTATTTTCTAAATAGCACCTGCAAAATTCTTGGCTTTTCAATGAAACAATCTGCAGGTCTGTTCTTGAGAAACTGTTCTAGAAGCTGTTCTAGAAACCGGGGCAAACATGAGCTTGCCGTTTATATCGATAATATCGATAAGCAAGTCTAACGGTAACTAGTAAAATTCATGCCTTCATGTCGAGGAAATTCATGCTAGCGTTTACGCTTAATGCCGTTTTTTTATGCCGAGGAAACTCATGCTCAGTTACCTTTCACTTTTTCTAAAAAATTACTAAGGTAATAAAAATAAACCAAAAAAAATTTAAAACCTCCCAAAAGCTGTTAAAAGCTATCCTACAATCACGTAAATCTATCTAACGCTTAAACGCTAAAGCTAACGCGTAAATCTATCTAACGCACGCGCACAAATCAGCAAGTAAACCAAGAAAGTAGAGTGCAACTTCTAGGAAAAATTACACGTACCGTAAATATTCGATTTCGAAACCCCCTATAGGAGCGTCGTGTAGTCTAGTTTGCACTCAAACAAACGCTCATATCTCGGCGTCCAGATATTTGTTGCTGCGGCTTGGGTATAAAATTAAAGTAGAGAGGGATGGGTAATTTTTTTTGAGATATAACACATATATTTTAGCATTAACTAGGGCTTAGGGACAAATTGTTGAAAAATGGCAAAAAAAGCCGTTTTGGTTCAGTGATTTTTTATAGGTTCTTGTAATAAGATCATCGTAAACTAACATCTTCAGTCAATTTCCCAGCGACGCCCAGTAGATCCCTAGCCGTCCTCGATATTGACCATTTGGCTTAGGTAGGAGTAGCATTAATTGTGAATAGTTGGTGAAAAAATTGTGAAAATGATGTTGCTGCGTCAACAGTGACACCGATTTTTTATTAAAACTACGTTTTGCCCCATTCTTCAAGTCGATCAATTGATTCTTCCACTAATATGGTCAGTGAAACGCTCTCAGCTCCGCTAAAAGGTCCGCACTAGCAATTTATAGTACAATCGTGTGTTATAAATGATCTATCGATTACATACTTTGATGTTTGATGCTTTTGACTTTTTCATATTGCTGTACTTTTATTTCTAGCCTTTTCTACAAGACTATAATTGATTTTTAGACCATGTCGGGTGATCAATCCATGAGTGTTAGTGGAACAGGTAAACTTTTTATTGGTTATTCTAATGTTTTTCGATTTTAGCTGATGGTGCTTTGCCTTCAACGTCACGCTCACACAAGTCATCGAAGTTAAATGAGTGTGTCACATATTGTGAACCACTGATGCTTACACAACTTTGGAAGGTTTGTTTTCTTGTTTTCTGATGGCTAAACTTGAATATCTTTAGATTGAGAATTTTCACACGATTTTGAAGCTTTCTAGGCCGGGACAATGTTTTAGGAGTCAAGTTTTTCGGTAATTGTAAATTGGAAGTTTGTATAACTGTTTTGTAATTTAGTGACCAACAAATGCCGGATGTTTGCTGGCAACTATGCTTGTATCCGAATGGCAAGCGGGAAGAGAATAAAGATAATGTTTCTTTGTTTCTCAAGATGTCTGCAACGGTTCCAAACAAGGAGGTTTGGTTTTTGAAAAGAAATTTCATTGGCTATTTTATTTAGGTGCTCGTGAAAGCAGAATATCGCTTCTATTTCTTGGGCGACAGCGAGCAACCTCTGTTCACTAACGTAAACATCGGCGATTTTCATGCAAAACCGCCCAAGGGAGGTCATTCGTGGGGACTTCGAAACATTCCGGTGAGCCAACGTGAACGTTATTTTGCAATTTTGTTTTTAGAAGTCAAAAAGTTTCTGGAGCTGTGCGACAGGACAACTCACTAGTCATCTCCTGCATCATTGAGCTGATGCCTGACATTAGTCGAATTGTAAGTTGAAACATTATTTTCCTAACTGCTATTCGTTTAGATTTGCAAGCGAGCAACAGTCAACCCTTTGTGGACAACGGAGGAAATCAGTGCGTCGCATATCCGAGAAGGTTGTTTTCATAAACTGTTTGTTACCTGGATTGGTTTTAATTTAGAACTCGACTTGCTTCACAGTGGCGAAGGCTCGGATTTCATTGTACTTGTTGAAAATCAAGAGTTTCTCGTTCATTCCCACAAGCTCAGAGCTCATTCATCCGTTTTCCGGGCTATGCTTTCTCACGGCAATGTGGCCGAATCAAAGGTGAGCAAGTTTTATGATTGGTGTTAGAAATGTGAAGATGTCTACTGGAAATTTACTACCCATTAAAAACTATTGCCCCATAACAAATGTTCAAAACTTCAAAACAAAACGAATGTTCAAAATTAATATTCTGATTTAATTATCATTTTAGGATCGCGTGCTTAAAATGGAGGGTGATCCGTTGGCGGTGAAGTTGATGCTTGAGTATATCTACTGCGGTCGAATCATGTCCGAGACGGCCTGGGAAAATTATGTCAATGTTTGTCCTTGTTTATTAAAGAAATTTATTGCTTCTTTTAGGTGATGATATTAGCCGAGAAGTACGATATTTCTGACTTAAAGTGTGTTTGCGAGCAACAGTTGATCAATGCGTAAGTCGCTGCTTTACTGTCAAACTTATCACTGATTTAGAACATCACGGGACAATGTTTGCGATATTCTTTCACTGGCCGATCTTCACAACGCGCATTCGCTCTACGCTCATTGTTTGGATGTTGTAAGTTTCATTTATTTCTTTGCAATAGCAGAAAATGATTTAGGTTTCCACAAACAAATCTGGCATTACTAGGACCGATATGTGGCGACGATTCAGGGTGAGAATTTATAAAGCAAAACTTGAAAGAATCCGAATTAAAGATGAAGCATAAATCATAAGCAATAAAATAGTTTTGCAATCTATTAAACCCGGCTTGTTAAGAAATCTTCATTCAAATGAAAGTGTTTATTTTAGGAAGATTCTCCTCGTTTGGCTGCTGAGGTCCTCGAACGCGTCCTTGAAGCTGGTCAAAGCCCTCCACCACCCAAGCGCAGTCGTGGAAATTATTAAAACATTATCTATCAACACAGTGTTCTATTGTTTGTATCGCTCTTATTCGATTTTTTAATTGTTAATTCTTCTAATAGGTATTCCAATTGCACAAACTTTATAGCTACATGCCTAGGTTCAAAAGCACGTTTTCAGTCGTTGCATAAGCCCAATTAAATAAAAAAACGATTCCTATGTTTGTCTTTCACTATCAAAGTGTTTTGGGTTATATTTGGTGATGTTTTGTGCTTCTCATTGTGGACTAAAATAAATTCATTTAAAAATTGTTCAGTGAGTCAGTTAAAAATGCTTATTACAACAATTGTTTACCAATCTAAGCTTTGATGGGTGTTGAACCAAGACTAATGTTTTAGAAAGCAGAAATGGGGCGTATGGACGTGTCGAAAATGCGGTATCTTGAAGGAGAACACTTCAGGATATTGCTAGCGGTAGGCTTTTCATAAAAATTAATAAGCAAATAAAACCAAATGAACGTCTTGGTGATCGAGCTTCAAATACTAGCGATTGAGGGTTCATTTGCATTAGGCTAGTCTGAAAGTTTATCGGCAGGGTTCTTAACGTCAAATCAGGGGAAGTGGTAAACGAATATCTAAATCGTATACCGTTATGCAACTCTATGAACTTTGTTTTTCAGGTTGAAATGGGCATGAAGAATCACGAGTTGGTTCCGCTTCCTCTCATCTCTTCTGTCGCAAAGATTCATCGAGGTGGCGTCACGAAAAGTCTCGCTGACTTGATGAAAATCGGGCTCGTTGCTTATGAACGTGGACGGAAATGTGCGTGTTCTGACCTGACCATTACTTTGTTTGTTTTATTTTAGATGATGGATATCGTTTGACGAAACTTGGCTATGATTATCTTGCTTTGAAAGCTTTGTGCTCGCGGGAAGTCGTCGGGTTTGTTGATTTGTATTTTAATAGTTTAAGAATCGGTTTAGTTCCGTAGGAAATCAAATTGGAGTGGGAAAAGAATCTGATGTTTACGTCGGAGGCGACCCAGAACTAAATGTTAGTGTTTTTCGTTGATATATCAAAACCACAACCGTTTTAGGATTTGTGCCTGAAATTTCACCGCCTCGGCCGAACGTCTTTTCGAAAAATCAAAGAGAAACGTGATTACCATAAGAAGAGGAAATCTGCCAGCTGGCTATATTTGAGTCGACTTGCGGCTTCAAAGGAGTTTGCGTTTTTGAAGGTTTGTACTAGTACTTTGATCGCTAACATGTGATATTTAGGCTCTAGCTGAGGCAGGCTTTCCAGTACCAAGACCGGTTGATGTTTGCCGACATCTTGTTGTGATGGGACTTGTTGAGGGTATGACCCTTTGTCATGTCGATAAAATTGAAGATCCCGGTGCTTTGTACGACAGGTTAGTCATTGCTAAAAAAATTAAAATCCTAAAATTTGAAAAAGCTCTACGCATTTATTTAGGTTAATGTGCTTGATCGTCAAATTAGCTCGATATGGACTCATTCATGGAGATTTTAATGAATTCAATGTTATGCTTGTTGAGGTATACTATTTTTGTTAAATTAAGAAAAACTGCTTTATAGAAGGAGAAAGTTGTGCTGATCGATTTCCCACAGATGGTGAGCATGGATCATACCAACGCAAAGTACTATTTCGATCGGGATGTGGAATGTGTTCGAACTTTATTCAAGTTTGTCATTTTTTTTGTTTCTACACGTTTGATCTTTATAGGCGCAAATTCAACTACTTGTGCGATGAATATCCGAAGTTTGAGGATATGACAAGAAAATTCAACCTCGATGTTCAACTAGAAGCTAGTGGTTTCACGAAGAAGATGGCCGAAGATCTGAATAAAGTCAGTTTGTATTTCGTCAGTTTAAGCAAAGAATATTTAAGGCGTACGATGAAGGAAACTTCCTGATGCATGAAGAACAAAATAAAGAGGCCACGAGTTCGGATGAGTCTGGCAATGGAGATGAGGAAGAAGTGGAGTGGGGCAGCGAATTGAGCGAGGTCGAAGAAGAGGATGAGGATGAAGCCGATGATATCGACAAAGAAGAGCAAGTAGCTGAGGAACAGGAGAATAAGAAAAAGGTTGTTTGGGTTACTGCCTATGATGTTTATTTTAAATTTTCAGGAACAAGAGCTCAATAAATCGTCACGATTCGATTCTTGGCTTAAAGATGCCACGTCGCAGCTAGATGAGATTTTGCGAACAAGAGGGAGGCGAAGAGCACAACTTAGTTGACCATCCAAGGATAGTTCAAGCTGCGGAAGAAGCAAGAAGGTAATTTTTAAATAACTTTAAATAGTAGAGTTCGGTTGATTGGGTTAATTATGAAAGTTTAGAGATCGTGAGGCGTACATCAAGGCACGAGAAGAAGCTGATCAAGAGGGAATTGGAGGCGATTGAACGAGAAATCGGTGGTGATGCACAAGAGGACAATGCAAAGCGACAAACTAAAAAGATTAAGACTGGAACAAAGTAAGCACGCTTTGGGATCAAACTTGAAACATGGCTTTTAGATCTGTGCGCTCGACGTCTACATCAATTCCCCCAGATGAAATCAAAAGAAGAGTAGCATTGGAAGCAAAGCGAAATAAGGAGAAAGTTCGTCTGAAGGTCAAGGGTCGTCAATCTGCGGTGTGTTTTGGTTTAATACCTCTAAGTCAGCTTATTTAGGTGAATCGTGGGAGGAAAGAGAACTCAAATCTAATCAACGAGGACAGCTTTTGGGATTGAAGTGATCGTACTTTTATTGTTCCTTCTTTACTGTCACTTTTTTAAAATTTGTTCGTTGACTTTTTGAGAGTTTTTATAAGCCGTTTTCATATTTGCTCTCACTTCCACTTAATCGGCTCTCTCTCGGGTCTACTTGTCAACCTTTTTTCGATTGAGAATCGACTGTTGCGAATGATTTTAGATTTCACTTTTTTGTGCTTCGTGAATTTTCGGACGTTCTCTGATAGCTTAATCCCCGTCTTTTCCCCATTGTTATCTTTTGTTGAGTTGATCGGTTTCAGTCAGGAATTTTCCAATTTTTTGAATGTTTTGTTATAGCGTTGTTAAATTTGTTGATTTTTTATGGTTATAAACTTTTATTCAAATTCTTTCTTGGCTTAAAAGGTTATTCGCACTTCATTGTTGAGTAAACAGACTTCGTTCAGCATTTTTAAACGACCATTTTTAGAGGCAACGGTGGAAATGGCGAGCAATGGGCACTTGTGCAAGGCATGATCAGTTTTTAATTTTTTTATGAAATTTTGTCTCTTGTTGCATAATGATACAAAAACGTCCAAGAGCAAAATTTTAAAATTTCATTGAAATAGGAAACACGTGAATAATCGCTGATCGGCCGTCGCTGTTTCGGCCGAGAATTTCCCTTATCAATTGTGTGTATCTTTTTCAGAGAAAATGGCCTAAGTGACCCCAAAGAATCATTTTTTAAAGAGCTTTCATATTACGAACAGGTTTAGTATTGTTTATCAAATAAATTTTTTCTTTAGCACATGGCCGCCGCGGATGCTGTGATTCCTCCGGACTTTGAGGTAAAATTTTTAAAAATTCCAATTGTTTAATCAGCAAATCTATTTTGAAAGTTTCAAAGTATTATTTGCGACATAAACCTTGATTATTTTAGCTTCCGGTTGATGCGTTCGATATCCCGCATTGCTACGAAGGAGATCTGGGAGCGGTGATTGTACCAGAAGGAATGATCAAGGATCGTGTGAGGAGACTTGCTAAGGATATACACGCAAAGTAAGTTTTCAATATTTAGTGGTAATAAAAGTTTTGTACAAAATGTTAATCTAAATTTCTCTCAGAATTGGAGACAACGAGCTGAGCTTACTCTGTGTGCTCAAAGGAAGCTACAAATTTTTCACAGCATTGGTCAGTTTTTGGTTTAATCCATAACATGTAAAAATGCAAATAATTCTTTTTATTTTAGGTTGACGAGTTGGCGTACGCTCGCTCCTCATGCACTCAACCCATGACCGTTGACTTTATCAGATGTCAGAGCTATGAGGATACACAATCGACAGGTGGCCTTTAAGTTTTGGGCTAAAAAATTTAGCTATTTTTTTGATTATCTTTACCGTCTCATGTTTAGGTATGATTCAAATCATCGGACTCAGCAACCTTCAAGAGCTCAAAGGAAAGAACGTATTGGTGAGTTTCTTTGATCGTTAGTTATATTTTGTAATGAACTTTTTCAGATAGTTGAAGACATTGTCGACTCGGGGCAAACGTTGGCTCGGCTGCTTCACACTCTCGAGGAATTGGGCGTGAGTCAGTCAAGAAACATATATAGAACATAGAAGATAGAAATTAATGAAGTGCAATTAGCGCCTGCAGACTGCGGTAGCAGAGTTGTCTTTAGAAAGCGTTCCGAGTCAGGTAATTTTCAGGCACAAAAACTTGGACGACGACCTTGTTGAGCAAAAATGTCCCGAGAAAGGTAAATTTAGTTATATGACGCAGTTAATAAGGTTATAAATAAAGCATGCTACTTTTATTATTGACAAAATTTAGGTTGATGTGAAAGAGGACTTTGTCGCGTTTCGAATCCCGGACAAATTCATAGTCGGCTACGGTTCGTTTGTTAGTTGTCTTTATTCAAAAACAACTTCGACTCAGTTATTCAACTGAAGATTTGCTCTGGTTTCTATTGGGTCAATGCATATGAAATGGCTAATCCATGCAAATTTCTCCACCAGAGTAGTTACCTAATTTCTGTTTGGTTAGAATGTAAATTTAAAATCTTAAGCTAATAACAGATAACTTTTTTATTTGACATGAAATGGATGGAGAAACTTTTCGATCATTGGGATCAGCTCAACTTTGATATTCTTTTGAGCCAAAGTTCTATTAGTTCGATATTTTTTAATCAACTTGGTTCTATTCAAAGATTTCAGTGAGTTTTTATCAATATGTATGCTTTTTGAGTTTTGAAAATAATTTGAAGCGATAAAGCCTGGGATTTCTTAATGAATTAGCTTTTTATTGAAAACGCTCATGAAAATCTTGATTCCTTGAAATAGTGTTTGTTCCACAGCTGGAATCTTTGGTCGAAAAGGTGATTATTGCATAAATTTTCACTAGCAACAAATCATAAAAGAACTTTTTGAAATCTGGTGATTGGTTGGGGAAATCTGGAAAAATTTGACCATTTCATATGCAATGACTCAATATTTTCTTCTAGGTTTGGACTACAATCAGAAATTCCGCGACCTCAACCACATTTGCGTGATGAGCCCGAAGGGAATCGAAAAATACCGCAATAAATAATTACCGGCTTTCTAGATACCTAATTCTTGAATTGCACGTCGATTTTTGTTGTAATGTTTTTTGAGATCTGGTCTTTATTAAAATCCTTTATCGATATAGTCATTTGTTTGAGGAAATTTATATCATATCATTTGTACATTTTTTTTGAGAATTGTTATCGAACATTTTCAAATTGTGACCATTGTTTGGACCAATAAACGAAGAGAAAAGTCACGAAATTTTATGGTTTTCTTCTTTTACTTCTTTCTCTTCTTTTTCCACATCAGAGGCCTCGGGAAGTTCCTGAAAGATAGGCTGGTTAGAAAATTTGAATTTCAAAGTAGTCAAATTTGCATAAATCAAGAACGAATTAACATTGGAGCGCTGTTTAAAAGAATTTTTTGTGAGCACAAAATTCATTTTATATTAGCGCTGATTTGAAGGTGGGTTTGTTTATGAATTTTATTCAAATTTTGCCCGTTTCCTGTTTGATTTTTACTCTTTTGGTTGCATGGCTTAAAATGTGTATCAAAAGGAAGCGGTTCAATGTTCGAGCCAATAAAACTGCCTTGGATCCGAAGCAAAGATCCGACAATCCGCCGGGGATCGTTTTGAGAAAGGTTCGTTGTTTTTATTCTTATTTTTGGTTCAGGCTTTTAAGAGTTTTAATCTAAAGCACTAAATTATTAGTTTTCTTTCAAATGAAACAAAATGAGCTCAATTTTTAGTAATCAGCGCTAGAATCCTTGTTTTAATCCTAAGGTCCTTAATTTATTAGCTTTTATAATGGTTTACTGTTTAGTGCAACTCGCAAAGGATCGAGATTCAGCGAAGCGTTGAAGTTCACAAGCCACCGGTGATGCTATTCGATGCGTTTTAATTCATTCTAGATTCGCTACTTAAGCTTCAGTCTCATTCTTAATTGGTGCTTAAAGCAATAGTTTGTCTTGGTAAACGTTTGGTAACGATTTTATGACTCGTAAATATACTTATGAGCATTTGAAAGAGGCTAAGGACATTGCGTATGAGTTATAAAAGGTTTATGTTAAAGCGGAATAGTTGCAGCATTAATCTTTTTCTTTTCTAGATCACTTCTGAAGGTCCAAGCTTCAAGCAAACCGAGCAAACGCCTCTTGATGTTAATCAGAAGAAAGCTGGTTAGTTTTTGTGTTATTTGACAAAATTTTTGCTTTAAGTCAATGTTTTAGACGATTTACCTCGCAAAAAACTCTCGGCGAAACCAAAGGATTCGCAAAAACGTCAGCGAAAGAGAAAGAAAAAGTTAGTTGATAAGTTTTTGTTCGTTCAAGTTTTTGTTGCTTTTAGATACCACTTGTGAACGGGGACAAGAAGAAAGAAAACATAAATATTGAGAAGGAAGTTTTTGAGAATGAAGTGATAGAGCCAAAGGTGAGCTTTTTGTGGTTTTTGGAATAAGAGTAACATAAAGTTATCACTGCTGAAGCATTGAGCATTGAGCAAAGGGCAATCTTTCATTTCTAGTCGAAAGGTGGGCCGATTATGAAGAGCAGCTGTGCCAGCGATGATTCGTTGCGCGAGTTCAGGAACACCGTGCCCGACTACGGGGAAATCTAGCGAGGTTGGGTGTTTTTTTTTTTGAGGAATTTGAATAAATCAGCTGATTCTACTCCAAGTACACAAAAACTTGTTTAAAGAGCCTAAAAGTTGACTTTCAAGAATCGCGTTCATTTATATATTATTCGATGCGTTTTAATCTCCTCTGCAACTATTTCCTATATGAAAAACGCGGTTTTCGATCGAGAAATGAAGAAAAAACGCGATTTTTGCTTTCCGCCCCACCCTAAAACGTGGATATTTGGCCGAAAAGTATATAAAGGTTCCGTCCAATTGCATTTTAGCACTTACATCCTTTTCTTTTGCATGTACTTTCTCAAATTTAACAGCAATCCTAAATATTGTTTTGTTTTTTAGTAGAAAACATTACATTCTAAAAGAATAATTTTTAAAAGTTGTAAATCAGAATTAAAAAGACTTGAAAAACAGGTGTCGAATTTAATACTGACTTTTCTTGGGCCGGAGTACCTCTTTAATGGCTTTAATGGTACCTCTTTAATGGCTTTAATGATACAAGAACATTTTTGATGTATCGCTCATTGTTTTTGTTGGCAAAGAGCTAAATTATTGAAAAAATGATGTCGGATTTGGATTATGAATCCTGCTTAGAACCCCGAAAACCCTGCTTAGAAATTTTCAGCTATGTCTGATGCTATTCGATGCGTTTTAAGTAACGAATCCATTCTAGATTCGTTACTTAAGCTTCGGTTTCATTCTTAATTGGTGCTTAAAGCAATGGTTTGTCTTGGTACACTCTTCAACAATTTCTTTTAGGAGAAGTCCGAAAAAATGCGGCCAAGAGCAGAAAAGTGACAACAGCAGAAAAGAACACAAAAGAAAGAGAAATCCCGGAGAGATGTCTGAAGATAAACGATCGATTTCATTAAACGTGTTTTGTAAGTGCTTTGTAAGTGCTTTGTAAGCTATAAGTTACCTCTGGATAGGCCTCGCCAAGATCCTCGACAAGCTCATCCTCTTTACCGGTCTCCTGAAAAATTTAGAGATTGATTTTAAAGCTTTTTTTCACTGTTACCTCTACTATTTTTCGATCATCATCCATTTCTTTGTCCATCGAGTTCGTTTTGATCAAGAGACCCTCTGAAAAAACGAAAATTCGATCAAATTTTGAAACTTTTAAGTTTTCCAAAGCAATAAAAGCTGAAAAAAGCTTAAAATACCGTCATTATTCGAAATCGGCACTTTTATCTCCACGATCGATGCCAATCCGGCAACGGGTTGAGTGGTGATTGTGGGATTTGAGCTAAAAATTTCTTTACCGTACTTGGCAATGATTGTATACTCTACACGGCTGTATAGTCTATACTGTAAATGGATTATTTTACTACTACCGTAAATACTGTAATGGTACCCCACCGCCCTCGTACAGTCGCGTAGTCGCAAAAGTTTTTTAGTATTTCATTTGTTTCTAAGCGCCCGTACTTTCAAAAAATGCGTCTTTGGTATCAAAAAATAGCCCTGAATTTCAGCTATTTTTTGATACCTAAATGCGCATTGTAGCATAAACCAGTGTCGAGAAAAACTCGTTCAAAGCTAGACTACGCAACACTCCGCACCGTCATTCTGGTGGTGGGGTACTATTACAGTATTTACGGTATGTCTTGTAGCTTTTTTAGTGTCAAAAACTCACGGGAACCACGTCTGAAAGTAGTCACGTTTTCCACGGCTTTTGTTATCACTTGAGTAGATGTCGGCTGAAATGTTTAAGGTTTATGGGTCAGCTAATAATTAGCACCAACCTTTCTCTAAAGCGAAACGCTGAATGAAATCATTTGTGGCTTGTCGAACTCGATCGTAAACTTGAATTCCCGTCCAGGCTGAGACCGAGACTGGAAACGTTGACGGGCCGAACTTTCGACCGTTTAGTGTCTAGAAATTTGTAGATATACGGTAGCTAATGCGTCGTGTTTTCTAAAAGACACATATCTCGAAAAACTACTGTAAGTTACAGTAGTTTTTCAACTACAGTAGTCAAACTGCCAGTTTACATTTGATCAGAACAATTTTGGAGTCATTGACTGACTCTTGTATCATTCGATCATTGACGATCATTAAATGATCATTGATTGATCATTGATTGATCATCGAATGACATCAAGATTTGATTGATCAAATGAAAAATGGCGTTTGGATTACGATAATTTTTTAGAATTCTAGGATTACGGTACTTCAACACCTTCAACTGTTCGGATGATGGGAAAACGAGTGAAAGATCGAGTGTACGCAGGGATTTCTCTTCAAGATTCGAAATGAGAACACCGAGAATGCCACGAGAAAGAATTCGCGGTGAGGCGATGATGACACAAATCGGAGTCGAGGAGTCTTTTGTTGGTGAATGACTGACGGATGAGGTTTCCGCAGAAGGATATGAGGAGCTTGGCTGCAACGGGATTCATTGTACTTTGTGCTCTCTTGTAAACGCACTTCTGGTGCACTGAGTTCCTAATTTTTCTTGATTTAGCTCACTGCACTAGAAAGGGTGTGCTTAGCACAAAAAGTACTTAATTCCAATTTATGCTCTCTTGTAAATTGCCTCTCACCTCGTTGCCAACTTTTTCCGCCTCATCATCGATTCGAGTCGATTTACAGCCGCACAACTTTCGACACATCAAAATGCTCACATGTTCGCGTTCCATTTCTGAGTATTTATAAAGAAATTCTTTTATAATTCATAAAATACATAAGGAAAAGGAAGAAAATCTAAATCTAAGGCTATTTTTGTTAAATTTAGCAATTGATGAAACCTGGAAACTGGAAGAATGGAAAACTTTTCTGAAAAACAAGGCTGACAAATTCGACTCGATGAAGTGAAGAAGGGATTTCCAGATTCAAAATGGCTCTAGCGAAATGGGGAATCAAGTGGAAGCATAGGGGAATCAAGTGGAAGCAATTAGTGAAGAAATATTCGAGTATAGATAGGGGAATTGAAATCCCGGGTATCTCTAGAGAAAAGTGAAGAAGAGAAGAAGGAGGGCAGCTAGGATACGGGGTATTGTCTCCCCTTTTCTCCCCTCCTCAATCGTGATTCTAATTGCGGATCGGTGTGCGATGGCCAAGCTAATCCGATGTGTGTGCCTCGATTTTCACCGAGATGAAGTCATCTTTTCATTTCATTGTATTGGAGAACACTCGAGGAATTAGCCTGGAGGAATTAGAGCCGATTTTTGAAATTTTGAAGCGCAAAGTTTAGAAGACTAAACCTTGGCTAAACCATGGCTTTGGCTAGATCTAGGCCTGGAAAATCGGCGTTCTTCTTTTGCCAACGTTTTTGGCGTTTGATATTGAGCGTTTTTCTTAAACAATCTGTTTTCTAAAACAATCTTTCACTTTTTCGTTCTACCTGTCTTTTTGATAAAAGTTACTATTGGGTTGGTGAATTGAAAACTGCGGGCTATTGGGATACGTCGCAGTTTGAGCACTTTCTTCAAAACAAACCCATTTTGGTGTCAATGGAAAAAAAGACTGAAGAAATAAAACACGACGAAAGACTGAAAAATTCTTTGTGGCGGGGTCCTTTTTATTGCTTCGGGTTACGGTAGTTTCCGACGTTTGGCGCGGAAACGTCTGAAAGGCAAAGTGTACGGTGGACGGTCCGAAAGGCATCTGTCATCAGAATTTTATTATTTCAAGAGAGAATTCCTTTAAATTGATTTAAAGTAAAATGAAATTAAACCCAATTTGTTTAATTACTTTTTTAATTATTTATTATTTATTATTATTTTTAATTTATTGGGTTGGTGAATTGAAAACTGCCGGCTATTGTTATATTTTAAAGTTTGAGCACTTTCTTCAAAAAGAAACCCATTTCGGTGTCAATGGAAAAGTTATAGAGAATCAAAATGAAGCTTATATCCAAATTTTCAGAACGATTCAAAAACCGCTTTTCAAGAAATGCCAAATTTGCGAATTTTCACAAAACTTGCATTTTAAGCGAAACTACTAAGTGTATCTTTTTGGAAATTTGGCTATAAGCCTACAACTTTTCTATTGACACCAAAATGAGTTTCTTTTGAAGAAAGTGCTCAAACTGGGACATTCCTCCATTTTTGAGTCTCCAGTCCTCCATTTTTGAGTCTCACAGTTGTCTCACACACAAACCAAAATCCTACTACGAAAGAGGAATCCGCAAATTGCCTGTAAAATGGGCAGAAGTCGTCAATAATAATGGAAATTATTTGGAATGAATTTATGGTTTTATGTTGAATAAATTTTAGTTCAAAGTCCGGCAGTTTTCAATTCATCAACCCAATGGAATTAAGAAATTTGCTTATGGCATCAAGAATTCGGCTTTTGAGGAGCCAATTTTAGCGGTTTCCATTGTAAATGACGATTTTTCTCTAAGAAAGATTTTTCTCTAGACTAACTCTAAGAAATCTAAGAAGAATGTAAGAAATGTAAGAATTTTTGTCTGTAAGACGTACTTTAAAAAATCTGTAAGACGGACTTCAAAATCTCTTTTAGATTCGGAATCAGCAGAATTCTCTGCATCGAGTGCAAAATTCTGTTGGCGATTACGTTTGGCGGATGTTAAGAAATTGATCGCTGCACAAGAGTTCAAGAATAAAATTGTCAATGTTTTGAAAGACAAAAATGTATAGCCCAAATTGGTAAAAACGTAATTCTGGATGTATTTGAGATGTTGTCTCGGAATGAAAAAAGGAATTGAAAGGTTTCCCCCTCCTCTCGGTGAGCTCAAATTTTTGTAGGGTTTCATCTCTTCTG